AGCTAGAAAGAGGCAGAGCCAAATTTCAAATACAGGTCTTTTAATTCCTCTTGCTGTACTGACGAGTGTACCTTTTCAGATTCCAGCCTTCCCTCCCAGTAACCACTGCTTTCAGGTATGAATGGTGCCATTTTAGTTCCATTTCACCTGGTTACAGCTGGCTGTCATTTCCATTTTAAATAAGTTCAAGCTCTTTTCTAGAGTATGTCTAATGGAGATTAAACAGACAACATTGAAGCTAAACTTTGGGCTTGTTTAGAGTGTCTGTCTATATGCTAATCTACAATCCCTTCTTGTCGGGGTTGAGGGGTTACATCAGAATAAAGTGCATATACTTGAGAAATATGTATTGCATTAGAGTTATAGTAGCGAACATGTTGCTCAAGGAATTTATAGTTAACTAGGAAGACCAGTATTACCTAATCTCACAAATATTTAAATTATGGTAAGTGCTGTGAAGAGAGCACATAGGAGCCCCAAACTGAGCTCAGGTTGGGGAGTGGGGATCAAGAAAGCCTTGAGGAGATAACATTACATTTGAGACCTCAGAGTTGAAGAACAGTGTTGAAGAACAAAGTTGAAGAGGCTACTTGCAAGAAAGCACATGTGCGGGGGCCATTGGGCAGGAGGGAGTTTGACATGTATCTGGAGAGTTAGAGAAGAGGCCATGACCGGGACCTGGAAGGCTACGGTGGGGATTTTTTGGCCTTGGTCCTAAGAGCAGTTTGGGGGAGCCTTTGGAAGTTTTAGCCAGGAGTGATGTGACATTTGGATTTTCAAAACAGATCAGCTTTAGATCAGAAGATGATCTGAGAGCTTGAGTCCAAGTCTCCTTTTACACATGGTATATGGTCTGTGGCCAATAACGTAAATGGATCTGGGACCCAGGCCTCCTGAATCCCATTTGGGGCTCTGGACCACATGCTTGCACATGAAGGGAAGAAGCCGGTGAGGCCACAGCTTTGCCTCCCCCTCCCAATGACCTCTAAGCCCTTTCTCAGGCCCCGACTGAAGAGGCTCACATTCATGGTTTGCATACTCCCCCTTCTTAAACTCCCCCGTCCCCTCAGGGCCTTCTCTGAGTGGATAAGGGAAGATTCACTCCTGATGTGGAGTAAAGGGAGAGTCCTACTGGATATGGGGGCGGGTGAGGGGGTGGAATAAGTGAACTGATTCACTTAACTATTTCTCTATCTCTAGGCAGTTAAGGTTGTTTGAAATGTTAACTGTTAGAAAAAAATACTGCAAAGAATATCCATGTCTATATTGTTTTCAGGGAACTTAATAAGCTCCTAAAACAAGATAAAAGCTTGATTCCAAATGCTTTCCAGAGTTTTATCAAATTACACTCATTGAATGAAAATTACCAGTTTTATCAGTGCCTTCCTAGTCCTTTAATGTTTGCTCATTTAAAGAGTTTCCTTGTTTCCATTTGAATTTCTTTGCAAGAGAATAAGGAACATAATATATTGCTTACTAATTGTTTGTGTCTGCCTCTTTAGGGCTCACTTTCTCCTTACATTTTCCTCTAAAACACGGGGTGACTAAGACTTGAAGGGAAAAAAAAATCAAGACATGTTTACAGTTAAAACTTTTTATTTTATAACCAAATAAAAATATCAGAATACATTTATGGGGCAGGTCTCAGATATTGGCTGCCATCTTTCCTCCTTTAATTCTGTGCACTGGCCTAAGGGGAAACAAAGAGCCGGGAGAAAGGTGTGCCTTTTGGAGACGGTGCTCTTGGGTCCACTGGAGAGTATGCTCTGAGAAAAGTTGTGTCATTTGGGTGGAGGGGAGTGGGTAGCAACCAGGTGGAGCCCTTTTCCGGACATGCAAGATGCCATTCCAAGTGGGGTGATTTAGGGACTCTGCAGGGCACTGTCGTCCACAGCTGGGGTGCTTAGACACCTGGAGGAAGTCATGTTCCCCCTTTACAACTGGTCCCCCAGTAGGGCAGCAAGCCACGGAGAAAGAGCTGATGGGATGGTGGCAAAAAGGCAGCCATGACTGGTCAGTCCTGGTGACCCCTGCATCAGGAGTAGAGGGCGCTTAGCTCTTTCATGGCTCGACCTCTTGATGGCACGTTGGTAGCACCCAGTTTTCAAATCCCGTTAGCCAGCATCATGGCACTCCCAAGGCATGGAATTAATCATTAGGAAACTACTAGGTAGATGGCTTTAGGCCACGGCCTGAATGTAAGCATAGGCGATGGTTCAGGTGATCCTGTAATGTCAGCACGGACAGGAGCTCTGTAGAGGCTGGCGTGCTCATCTACCTGGTGAGGCAACTGGTGTCCTGAGAGAAAGGGACTCTCCCAAACGGAGCTCGAGTTCCCACTTCACTTGCCATTTCAAAGCCAGTTTCTGTAAGATTTATGAACCTCCCATTCATGCCCCAAGATTGTGCAAAGAAAGAGGGGGTAGTGGGGAGCTGTGCAAAAGCAAGGAAACTGGCAGTGTGCAACACTATCCAGAAGCTGTAATGGGGTCACTGGCTTTTCTGAGCACAAGACCCATGACATGTAGGGGAGGCCACCTGGAAAGCTTGGCTGGACTTGAAACCATTAGGTTAGGTCCTCTGTGGCAGTGAAGTTTAATGGGGCAGCCCTTAAGATTAAAGAGAGTTGATGGAAAGAAAGCCTTGTAAAACCAGCTTCAGTCACACTATCTCCATCCAGCTCCTCAATTACTCCTCATGTCAAAGCATTTATTTTACACATGTGGTTCCCTTACCTGGAATGCTTCCCCCATCAACTAGACTGCTTTCAGATTTCGGCTTATATGTCACGTCCTAGGGGAAACCTCTGGCTACTCCACTGAAAATTCAGTCTGTGATTCTATGTGTGACCACTGATTAAGGCTCACCTCCTAGACTGTAAGCACTTGGGCAGGGACAGTTTCTGTGTTTCTCACAACTGTTACCAGATTTAGTCCATCCCCTGACAACAGGTACTCAATAAATATTTACCAACTGAATGAAAACTGTAGGGAGACATTTTCATTCCAGTGTAAAACGAATAGTACAATTTCCCCCAGGTTATATGGCTGCCGCAAAGCAATTCCAAAAACAGGCTAAAAGAAACCAGACCAACTCCTAAGCAGTCATGACCCCTGCCCTTTCTGCTTCCTCCCAAATGTAAAAGTATATCAAATCCTAGGGTTTGCTTTAGTGAGGAAGTGAAACACCATAGTAGATCACCCAGATTTTTCACTTTCTATTCAGAGAGCAGGTGGGTTGTTGACAGGTTACCAGTCCAGAGTGAAGGAGCCACTTGCTCCAGAAGGAGCAAGCTTCCCGTTTCGGGGACCATGCCCTGCTCCAGTGGCAAAGCCTTTTGCAAGCCCCTCTGTCCCTCTCCAAAGGCCCTGGTCGGTGGAAGGATGCTTCCCGCCTCCTCTGTGTGCCGAGGAGAACCAAAGCCTTCACTCCTTAGCATCCGGGGAGCTGTGCAAACCAACCATGGAGCTTGCTGAGCCACAGGCAGCCCCACAGGCCTTTGCTACCGAGCAGACCAGACAACAGTCAGTGATGAGCTATAGGTCTCTCCCCTTGGGTTTACACGAGGACTCCTCAGACAGTGGGAGAGGGAGAAGGGAGCTAGCCCGGTACTTCACTGTATTCCATCGTGTCCCTTCCTGACAGAGGAGACTTGATGGGACGTTGCAGCCATCAGGAAAAGTTCATTTCCTGAGCAAGGGCACAAGCAACCAAGCAGATTCTCAGCAAAACAGTAGAGCTTCTTGGCATCAGTAACGTCACCTTGGGGAACAGGGGTGGGAGGCACGCCTTTCACTATTCTTTTGTACCTTTTGTTTGGTTTTTAAATCATATAAGTATTATCTAGTCAAAATATTTTACTTTAAATGCATTGAGCATAATGTCACCTTCCCGGGGGTGGGGGTGGGGTGGAATCCTCTTGCTCTCAAAGTAGAATGTGTGTAAGTCTGACCTGAAATCCGCAGCGGCTGCCAAAGCTGGCCTTCTCCTCCCTCAGAACCAGGCGCTGCGTATCTCCTTAACCAGTGCTCTCACACGTGAACGTTCGTACAAATCACCCGAAGTCTTGTTGAAACACAGGTTCTGATTTCGGAGGACGACGGAGGGGGCAGAGACTGCCGTTCCAACAAACTCCCAGGTGATGCTGATGCTGCTGGTCCACAGGCCACACCTCTGAGTGAGTAGCGAGGCTCTGCAGCCACTAAATGGGGGAAGCAGCATAGTTCAGCAGTGTGGGGCTGGGAAGGAGGAGGGTAGGGAGAGAGGCTGGGGTGAGGGGCGAGGGCCTCCCTGTTAACAACTACTTCCACCTGCCAAGTGAGCTCCACCTATTCTTATCTCCTTAGCCCTTCAGACCCCGCCTATGAGGAGAAAGCGAGGGAAGCCGGGTAGGGACACTCAGCCCCACAGAACCGCAAGGGAGAAACGACCCAGGCAGCTGGTCTCCCGTTTGGGGGAGACACTATGCCCAGAGCTTCCTGAGGCTAGGCAGGAGGACTGGAGCAGAAGCCTCCCTGCCTCCCCTTCCCCACCTTACCTGGAAACCCTCAGAGGCTGCCTGTCCCCTCAAGGGCTAGCTGCCTCTTTCCAGGCCCAGGCCTTCCCTGGTTGCTTCGTTGGCCACCTATTATTTTATCCCTGAGGGCAAGGCCAAACGTCCCCTTGGATGCCGGCCAAAGTCTTTCTCTGAGGAGCCATCATTCTCAACAGGGATTTGTGAAAGTCTCAGCTAGAGGCTGGAGGAAGGCCAGAGTGGCTGAGCCGGGCTGTGACGTCTGTTGGCTCTGGAAGGAATTACACGTGTGCTCCCCGCACCCAGGGGCCAGGTCAGCATCTCATTTAAGGATCTCTTGGATAGGGCACAGCCCACAGCACATAGCATTCACTGTGTGAATGAATGAATGAACTGAGTTCTCGGAAAAATGAAAACACTCAGGCCCCTGGCCTTCCCCACTTCCCTCTCCAAGTCCTCCTCTTCTAGATCCGAGCCACACTGGCCACTAGGAGGCTTCCCTCCCCTGACACACAACGAAAAGCTTGTAGTAAGATCCCAAGGTGCAGAAGAGATGGCTGTGACCGGAAACACCTGTCCCACGCAAACACAAAGAGTTTTCAGTTCAGAGCTGCAGGCGGTTCTGCCGCAACATCTTCACCAAATCTGCTCTCAGCGAACACCTCTGGCTATGCCTCCGCTGTCTGCAGGTTCTGTAGCTGCTCCACATTCACCTCTCCATTCCCCGGGTGGCCAGACCTG